AAAAAAAAAAATGTGTAATGTTGTGTCTGTTTTCAGGTCCAATGATGCACCAGCAGCCTCCTTCTCAACAATATAATATGCCACAGGGAGGTGGGCAGCATTACCAAGGACAGCAGCCACCTATGGGCATGATGGGTCAAGTTAATCAAGGCAATCACATGATGGGTCAGAGACAGATCCCTCCTTATAGACCACCTCAACAAGGTAAGATTCCATTGGGAAGATTGCCTGCTTAATACGTATAAGAGAACTTGAAAGGTTTTACATTTTAATAAACATTAGGTTTTTAAAAGTAATTAGGCAAAGTTGGAGCTTTTTTCCCATTGATTCTCCTCCCCACCCCCCAAATGTTATAAATATAATAGGTAAAAAGTGTCATGTATTGGTTAGGAACTTCAATTATATAGCTTTCTTTTATCTATCCTTTTCTGGGAAAAAGTTACTTCATAAAATTTCAGATCAAAAGCTCACTAATTTGTAGCGGGAGATACTATTTTGTTTTTGAGAAATTACTAAATCTGTGGTCGTGAACAAACCCAATTTTATTTGATAATGCTCTAATTTAAAAATAAACTAAAGAAAATTATCTACCAGTTTGAATCTCTTTTTAAGAGTTTAGTGCTTGTTTTTCTGAGTTGGTATTGTTTGAAATTGCATGTATAGTTTTCACATTAATTTTTGTGAAATGTAGTATGTAGAGTTGTGTATGTATGAGTGTGTATAAGAATAGTTATTGAAAGTATCTGAAATGCCAAAGAATGGGAGGGGAATCTACAACTGAGAAATAATTTCTCATAATATCAGATTAGAAAACAAGCCGTTGATGACATGGAGACAAATTATTTACATCTTGACTGGTTGTGGTTTTTCAGGCCCACCACAGCAGTACTCAGGCCAGGAAGACTATTATGGGGACCAATACAGTCATGGTGGACAAGGTCCTCCAGAAGGCATGAACCAGCAGTATTACCCTGATGGTAATCTCTCCTAATGTTAACTTTCCCATTTTCTATCCCTGTCCAATATTAATGGAGATAGCTATTCAAAACATTTTAATGGGATGAAGAAACTAACAATCTGTTTCTTCTAAATTTAGAAAACACTTTAAGTAATCTAAAGCATCAATGATAGCATTAGTTCATAAACTAATTTAAAGTGTATTTTGTGTAGCTATTCCATATTAGTACCATCAGGAATCACATTCTATCATTAGAATCCTTTCTTATAAAAGAGGGCCCTTTTATATTCAGAATTGTTCATTTCAGTCAATGCAAATACTGATTTTCTTTTTTTAAATAACCACTTTATTGAGAAATCATTCACATACCTTAAAGTTAACCTGTTGGTTTATGTTTATGCATTGTATGAATACATAGAGAATGTAATTTTGGGGTATTTTTCCAAGTGTGTATTGTATACTTCCCAAAGAACAATGGTTTATATATATTAACCATTTGAGAAAAATTTTGGAGGCTAAATTATGTTCATGATATAGCTTTTATAGATTTAATAATATAGGAAAGACATTTAGAAACCAGATTTTAATATTTTTATTTAGTTTTTTTTTTTTTTTAATTTTTAGTGGGAAGATGGCTTGTGAAAAAGTGATCAGTAAAGATGTGGACTGTACTTTAAGAAAAGTTAAATAGTAATAATCCAAGCATGTATAATAGTTTTAACTGTACAATCCTTTCCATTTTTTTAATATTTTTGAAAATTTTTGATAAAATATTGAACAAAAAACTATTCAAACATATAAATAATATGGTAAATTAAGAGATGATTCACATTACCAAGTGACTCATGTTGCTATGAAAGGATTTGCCAAAAGCTTTATTTATATAGTAAGTGCCTTTGGTGTATTTGCTTAACAGAGAAACTTGGAAACTAAGAAACTTAAACCTAAAAGTGTTGAGAGCCATTGACTAGAAGCTAATGTAAGTCAGCAAGATGTAATTTGATGTATAAAAAATCATTTTCCCAGCCATTTTTTGTAAATGTGTAAAGAATAAAGGTATATTAGTACTTAGAACATTGGCTTTTACTGCAGAGGCTCTGACTACGCAGGCAGAGCAGGCACTCGCCTTGAAAGTCATTGTCTTTTGCATATATAATAAGTACTTATTAGTGATAGTGATGATATGTAGGGATAATTCTAGTTAGAAAACAATGTATTTTTTACCACAGATTTTCTTGAACTGAATTATTCAGTGTTGGGAGTTTTTTTTTTTTTTTTTCTTTTCCCATGTAGGCGTGCTTATTGAGACTTTTTGAAATTGAAAACTTTAATAATTTTATAGTACACTATAGGTATTTTGAAGAGGTGAAATCTTCTTTGTTAAATTGTATGCATTAGGAAGTCTTCTGAAAATTAAATGATTTTTGATTGTTTAATTTTTAAAATACATTTTAAGTAATTGATTTAAACTTGATGTTGTTATTGTAGTCCTACTTCCTGAACTGTGAAATTTATATTCTAGATCGAACCTTTCTATTAAAAAAAATATTACTTTTCTAAACATGAAAACTTTAAGATTACTATAAGCAATTCATTTTATTTCATTATAGTCAAGGATTACTGATTTAAATGGTATCTTTGCACAAGCATGTATTAATATATTTTTCTGATGTTTATTTAATGTATTTATTACATTTACCAAAAAACAAACAAACAAAAAACCTCACTGCCGTCAAGTTGATTCCGACTCATAGTGACCCCCTTTGGGTTTCTGAGGCTATAAATCATTATGGAAGTAGATGACCATCTTCCTTCTACAGAGCAGCTGGTGAGATTGAACCGCTGACCTTCTAGTTAACAGCTAAATGCCTTATCCTCTACTCCACCAGAGCCCCTTTATTACATTTACATCAACAAGTAATTTTCTTAAATAGCATTGGGTATTTTCTCTCATTATGTCTAGATATTTATGCCAGTAAAGATATACATCAGTAGTTAGCAGACTTTTTCTGTAAGAAACCAGGTGATAGTAAAGTAAATATTTTAGTCTTAGCTGGCCATATGTTCTACTAAACTTTTCTGTTGTAGTGGAAAACAGCTATAGACAGTATGTAAATGAATGGGCATGCCTGTATTCCAATAAAATTTTATTTACAAAAATAAGACATTGGCTGTACTTAGTCTGCTGACTGCAGTCTGCCAGGCTTGATGTAGATATTTATGAGGTAGTTTGGGAATATTCAAATACCAGAGTAATGAGTATAGCATATATTTACAATTATATTCCTCATGAAGTTGCCATGAGTCAAAATTAACTGAATGGCAGTGTTTTCTTCCTTCTTTAGGCATTTTTCTAAAATTTAGTACATGCAAGATTTAAGCTAATAGAAAGGTGGTTTTCTGCATTTTCTTTGCAAAACTTAATTAAAAGATGGGAGTATTATTTTTCATTAGAGTCCATACATGTTGCAGGTGAAATTTATTGTGCCTTAAAATAACCTATGGGTGAGGTTTTTCTTCTTAATGTGTTGAAACTTAAAACAGTGTTAATTTTTAAAGGTGTATGCTTATGTACTTTAGAAATACTTTCTAAAGACCTAAAATGACAACATTTAAAGTTAAATTTTTACATCTGAAAATACTTTGAAATGCATATACTTTATGCAGGTAAATAGAATGTGAAAAATCTCTTTCAGTTTCTTTCAGGGGGAAAAAACGGAGCTTTTTTATATTTTGCATTGTTTTTAGCATATGCTGTGGAATTGGAGATCAGCAGAACAGGTGTTTGACAAAATATGATAATTGCTTCCTTTGTTCATTCTAATTTAATTCAAGTTATTTACATGTGAAAGGCCTAAATGCTTTCATTCTCCTTTTTTAGAAATGGAAGATAAAGGTTTTTTTTTTTCCCCTTCAATGAGGATTATCATCAGAGTTATAGACAATAAGTGTAATGTTTCTTAAACTACTGTTTTTTGCTTTTAAAAAACTGCACGTAATCGCAATATGAAAACAATCATATTGGTAAATATTTGGCTAATGAAATTGAAATTATTTTTTATGTATTTCCAGTTCATTTTCTTTTTTTCAATTTTATCTGAAAGTTTAAATATTTTAGGGTTTTCACTCAGTGGCCATTAACGTTTCTTCCTGTCTCTTGTCGAATTGATGTAGGTCATAATGATTACGGTTATCAGCAACCGTCGTATCCTGAACAAGGCTACGATAGGCCTTATGAGGATTCCTCACAACATTACTACGAAGGAGGTATCTATATACCTTCACACATATACACACACATATCCCCTTCTACAGGAATGAAAATTCTTGCATAAGACAACTTCTACCCATGCAAAGCTCTTGTAGAATACTAGCTGCTGGCTGTCTTAAAAGTTATAGGGAGCCCCAAAATCAAAATAATTTCCTTACAAATATTTAAAATGTATAGCCATTACTTGTTATTTCTAACAACGGTAAAAAGACTAAAACATTTTAAAATAATTTTCCTCACTGGAAATTTTCTACTTGAACATAAATCCATCGATCCAATTTTTTTTCTTGTGTGTGTTTACTTATATATAATTTTACATATAAGTATAGTGCCTTTAGGAACAGCTTGCTGATCTTGTGTAGCTAGTTTGTGCTCTTGTAGCTGTCTTTAATTTTGTCTTTTTTATTTTATTTAGCATAGTCATGATCTTATGACTGTGATGTTCCAGTAAATGTAATGCTCGTATGGCAGAGACGCTGAAAATGCTGCAGTTCAACCTTGCAAAATTGGCTTTAACTGCAGTTTGTTTGGCCGAAATCCTTCTGTTTGGTTTGAGTTTTTCCTTTGTTTTGTTAACTTAAAAATCAGTATGGCATTTCAGTTTGTTCTTGTGTTGTTGGCTATGCAGTTTAGAAGAAAAAAGATAATCAAGCAAATTTCTCAGTTTCTTTCTTCCTCTTCTCCAATTACCCTCTAGGAAATTCACAGTATGGCCAACAGCAAGATGCTTACCAAGGACCACCTCCACAACAGGGATATCCACCCCAGCAGCAGCAGTACCCAGGGCAGCAGGGCTATCCAGGACAGCAGCAGGGCTATGGTAAGTAGTTGACTGCAGTTTATTTTTGTAGCAAAAATGTGATAATTTCTGTTTTGAAATATGGAAGTAGATGTTTCATATTTCTCTAAGAACTATCCTTTTTGAAAATTCACAATTTTTTAATCTAGTTATTATTAGAATGTTTATTAAAAATAATGCTTTTAGATGAAATAATAGTAATTCATGTCAAAATAGCCATAAACTAGAGATGGTTCATTGACCACAGGTAAGGTGTATAGTTATTTAAAAGACAAAAAAATGAATTCTCAGGCCTACTTGGCATTCATGACCCACCAGTATCTTTCTATGTGCTTGGAAAACTGATTTGGATGATTGTTAGCTACATCTACATAATCTTCTTAGCAAATTTGTTTCTAAACTAATGATTATGAAAATAACATTGATTTTTAGGGTACAATTAATGAGATCTTTTCAGAAAGCATAAAGAAATGTTTTGTCATCTCTAGTTAGTTAACTCTATTACATATGTGCGGTGAATTGCTTGATGTGGACCTTCTAGCCATTGTCCTCCATTCTGTGATGATTTGTAAATCCCACTCCTGACACCAACTGCCAAAAGGGCAATAAAGCCACATGTTCTGACCTCCTCTAACCACACAAGAGGAAGACAGAATCATTATCAGTAGTCTAAGGCCTATTTGTGCAAGGCCAGACATGTTGCCTCCCTCCAGCCCTTTCTCCAACCATTCCTCCCAAAGCACCCACCACCTCTCTCCTGGGGTCAGTAATTCACTGCAGTGGCCACACAGAACTCACAGATTATGGGGTTTATTAGGGAAGCACCAGACTACAATTCAAGTTCAGGAAAAACACTCAGCCTCTCTCTGACTGCTGGCTGAGAAAGGACGTGCCCCTGAGAGACATGCGCTGCTGGGAAAGAGATGCAAGAGACAGGTATTGCTGAGTGAGATACCAAGGGACACCCACTATTGGGAGAGAGACTGTGAGAGACTGTTGGCTGAGAGACGGTGGGCTGGGAGAGAGACTGAGTGTTTTTCCTGAACTTGAATTGTAACCTGGTGCTTCCCTAATAAACCCCATGATTTGTGAGTTCTGTGTGGCCACTGCAGTGAATTATCGAACCCAGGAGAGAGGTGGTGGGTGCTTTGGGAGGAACGGTTAAAGAAAGGGCTGGAGGGAAGCAACATGTCTGGCCTTGCACGAATAGGCCTTGGACCACTGATAATGATTCTGTCTTCCTCTTGTGTGGTTAGAGGAGGTCAGAATATGTGGCCTTATTGCTCTTTTGGCAATATGTCTATAAAAACTCACGGCCATTAAGGCAATTCTGATTCATAGTACCCTCCATTGGGTTTCCAAGGCTGTAAGTCTTTACGGAAGTAGATTGCCCCATCTTCCTTCCACAGAGTGGCTGGTGGGTTTGAATCGCCAACCTTCTGATTAGCAGTCAGATGTCTTAGGCACTTCGCCACCACAGCTTCTTACATATGTCCATAAACCAAAAACCAAACTCCCTGTCTTCAAGCTGATTCGACTCATAGCAACCCCTCCTTGAGTTTCCGAAGTGGTATCTCTACGGAAGTAGATTGCCCTGTATTCCTTCCAAGGAGTGGCTCATGGGTTTGGACCACCAACCTTCTGGTTAGCAGTCAAATGCTTTAGACACTACACCACCGGAGCGCCTACATATGTCCATGTTGTTGTTGTGTTTGCCATTGAGTTGGATCCGACTCATAGCGACCCCTTACTTGGGTCTCTGAGGCGGTATCACTATGGAAGTAGATTGCCCAACCTTCTGAGAATGGCTGGTGGGTTTGAACCTCCAGCTTTCTGGTGAGCCGTCAAATGCCTTAGGTACTGTGCCACCAGAGCTCCAACATATGTCCATAGGACTATAGTATTTCAGGGTTATGTTTCTTGCAGAATTTGTGGATAGTGTGGCCATGTTTTCTTATTATCTACTCACTACATTGTCTATTGGGAGCTCTGGTAGCATAGTGGCTAAGGCACTTGACTGCTAACCAGAAGGCTGGCTGACCAGCTGCTCCTTGGAAGGAAGATGGGGCAATCTACTTCCGTAGTGATACTGCCTCGGAAACCGAAGGAAGGGTCTCTATGAGTCGGGTCCAACTCGACAGCACATAACAACAACAACATTGTCTATTAGCTGGACATTTGACTTTATCTTAAAATTATTTTTAATTTATTATGTTGGGAGTGAAGAGTGATGAGGACCTGAGGGGAAATTATCTTGGTCTCAGTTTGCATTTCATATTACTTGGTTCCACAATCAATACCAGTGGAAGCAGCAGTCAAAATATCAGATGATGTATTGCACTTGGAAAATACGCTGCAAAAGACCTCTTTAAAGTGCTGAAGAGCAAAGATGTCTCTTTGAAGACTAAGGTGTACCTAACCCAAGCCATGGTGTTTTTAGTCACCTCATATGCATGTGAAAGCTGGACAATGAATAAGGAAGACCAAAGAAGAATTGATGGTTTTGAGTTGTGGTGCTGGCAAAGAATGCTGAAAGTGTCATGGATTGCTAGAAGAACTAACAAATCTGTCCTGGAAGAAGTGCAGCTGTAATGCTCCTTGGAAGCGAGAATGGCCAGACTTCATCTCACCTGTTTTGGTCATGTTGTTAGAAGGAACCATTCCCTGGAGAAAGATACCGTGCTTGGTAAAATGGAGAGTCAGTGAAAAAAGGAAAAGGCCCTCAACAAGATGGATTGACACAGTGGCTGCAATGATAGGCTCAGGTGTAGCAAGGATTATGAGGCTGGTGCAGCACCGGGCAGTGTTTCATTCTGTTGTACATAGGGTCACTATGAGTTGGAGCCTACTTGACAGGACCTAACTACAATAACAACATAACCAGTGCAAATACAGGAAATGTGGTTCTAATGATAGAGAAATAGATGCTTACTAATACTGACATTCTCTTTTGCTACCTTGGTCTCTTTTTCATATCAGGTTAGGCCTTCATTTTTATTGATTTAAGCTCTGCAGTTATTGTGGGCACCTCTGTCTACCTATGATAACAAATGTAAGAACCAAGGTTAGGCTGAAATTCTCTTGCCCCCTCGGCATACACATTGAAACAAAATCAGATATTTTCCCAAAAATGATATATTCTGCTTCCCTATTTATAGATACAGCTTTGGAAAAATCCATGAATTTTTTGGTTTTCACAGTGGGCTTTCTTTTTTAGCTGTTCTCAGATAGCATTTCTGTTTCATGACTATTTAATAATTTTACTTTGAATAAATAGAATGTTTTGGTTTTATTGCGTTTCCTTGAAAACAAATATGATGTGACTAAATCAGGTAGATTCATTGCCCTAAGATGATTATTATTTTCAGCAGGAAGAAAAGGTAAAAGAAAATTGACTATTTTTGAGTAGTTAAATGTTGTTTTGTAAAAAGTCAAGAATCTTGGAAGGAGAGCAGTTCACATTTTGCTTTTCCATAAACTTCAGCTTGTTAACTTTCTCCTAAACAACAAATAGGAGCTCTGGTAGCATAGTGGCTAAGGCACTTGACTGCTAACCAGAAGGCTGGCGGTTCAAACCCACCAGCCACTCCTCGGAAGGAAG